TAAGAAACTATAACAAACTATAAAATTCAATCCCAATAATAAATAGTTCCTGAAAATAGGATCAATTAAAGACTGTAACAGAGATTTTACAGCCTTTTTTATTTTTCAAAACAATGTAGGACAAAAAGAGAAAATGAGAGTGCTCCATTCATTCATAATGTCCAGCTATGATATTACCTGTCTTACCTTTGCATCCTCTTTAAATTTCTGAAGAAGAATAAGCTATCCTTTTTCCTGATCCATACATATACATAACAAAAATCCCCCAAAAAATTTTGAGTTAAAATTCTAGCCTCAGTCCAACTGCAACTGAAGTAACAGAGAGAATGCCTTTGAAGTAAATAACATTTGGTTCTTTGATTTTAACCTCAGTTTGGATTGATTTATTAACTGTAAGTCATGATCAAATCCTAGCTGCCAAATATCCCTTCTTCTCCTCTATCCTTCTCGGTATTTTGTCAGTACCTTTGTGATGAAGCACTCCAAATGTGTTTATCAACACTTAAAGAACAAAATTTGGCACTATTAGGAAACCCCTTCTGTTGGAAATTCTTTTTTTAATCTCAGTGAAAATACCACTTCTGAACATGATTCATCAGACAGCAGAGTTGTTCCGGGTACATACACATACAGAACACATCATGCGGCCTAGATGTGCATTACTTATTGGTATAATATGGTTGCTGTTTGTTAGAGTAATTAAAATCCACACAGATATTTTTAATCCTTTCATCACTTTGTTGTATTCAACTCTTTTCTCTTCTCAAATTCCTCCAAAGTAAATTTTCCAGGGCAAGGATCATCTTTTTCCAGTGCAGCTACAGTATCCGGAACAGCGAGTGTCAACTGCTTAAGAATTTCTGGCTATGGCCCCCAAGAGAAATAATCGTTTTTTACACCTGTAAAATCCTCCAATATTGGTATACTAGCATATTTTTATAATTTATCACACACATTTCTTCCTTTCCCCCAAATCTCAAATGAATCAATGTTGCTGCTAACACCTTTAAAGACATTCTAGCTCAGAAGCAATCATGCACCTGAAGCACTGTCTATTTAAAATACTTGAAATGCAATTTGGAGATGGCATTGGTTCATCCAATTTCCGGTTCCACAGAGAAGGAATTTAGCAAAATTGTAGATGGTGTTGTAAGGGCCGTGGCTGAAGTTAATAGGAAGCAAACCCTGCCCAATAAAGAGCATTATCCAGAAATAGACAGCAGCCTGTGACACGTATATAATTAGAGAAATTGGAGGCTTTGCCCATGAGAGCATGTGTTCCACAGCAAATCGTATTTCCTTCATTCTCCCTTTCATGGTCATTATTGTAAGTGTAATCATTGCATGATTATAGTCCTTACATATAACATATCAGTTTCTTTTTGTTTTTTTCCAATATTGGTGTTAATTGAATTCACTGAACAAATTACAAAAAAATCCACAGCTCAGATTTTATCAGATCAACTGACTTGCAAGTCAGAAACCATATAAGGAGATCAAAAGAAAAGAGGGGTCCTTTTTCCCAAAATATAAGCCATTAGGTACTTCTTTTGGTTTTTTTTCTTTGCTAATAGGAATATAAAATAAAACTGACAACATAAAATGTCTGACATTGAAGTCCAAGTTGTAAGGAGGAAGAAGTTAACTTACCAACTTCCAAGTAAAAAAAAAAAACAAAACCAAACCCTACTGCTTCTACTGAAACATAAGGAATTGAACATAAAAAAAATCAAGTTTATCATAAAATTCTAAAACTGAGTCTGACATTAGGGCTCACACTGCTGTGCTACAGAACTTAGCTCTATTACCTGCCCTTGTTACTGAAGCACAACAGTAACCTAAGACATAGGTAACAGGAGGAAGGAAGCAATCATTCTGAAAAAGACTTATATATGACAGTGAACAACAAATTAGGCATGAGTTTCCATAGTGATACAGCAACAAAAGGCTGCTGCAATTTTCAGCTGTCTATACTGAGAAAGTAGCAGAGCAAAGGGACTAGAGTCCCTTCTCTGTAAGTTGGGATGTTAGTGTACTCAGAATTGTCCATTAAATTTTAGTTCCAGACTATAAAGAAATTATTGAAGGAACTGGAAGAGGAATAATAATAATAATAAAAAAAAAGTTCTGCAAGAAGCAAAACTACTAAATGCTATGGATTTGGTTTTCGTTGCTGGATTCTCTGGTATCTTAAAAATGCAAAATCCAATGAGTACTTTCTCCTGTGCATCTCCTGTGCATCTCCTCTGTGGATTCTCTGATGTTTAATAAGAAATGATCTCATACTATAGCCTTTCTGCCAGAGGGAACACACATGGGTCTCTTGCCCATCTGGCAGCCTGCTTTCCTGAAACTTAAAGGAATTCCTGTCCAGTGTTGTTGAAACTGGCCAAGAGTTAAGAAGCTATTGAGGGAGAAAGAAGGGGAGAAAGATCAGCAGTCACACAAAAACCTAGGCTAGCAAGTAGACAGTGCGATCATATAAGCTTTGTATCCCTGGGAAACTAGGCTAATTATCAAAGGGCTGGAGAGATTCACTTATGGTGAAAGTCCAAAGGCCCCAAAGTGGAAAAATACTTAAGGTAAAGTGCTCTATCGGATATAGGGCTGAAAGAACCAAACATGATAGCTAAGTTGAGACACAAATGATGAGGAATGTTATAATTTACAGAAATATAAATGTTAGCCAAGGATGATGAGGATTTATTTGTACCAAGAGGAGCTATTACTAAGCAGAATTGCAACTGGGAATAGCGGGATTAAATAAAGGAAAGCTTTAGGCTAAAAATCAAGCAACACTGTAAGTAAGATGAGCCTATAGAACAGTTTTGAGACATAGGAAGTGGAAGCTCCATGGCTTACGAAAATTAAAACTGGAATGTAAAAAAACCTGTTCTCTACAGAACAGCAATGCATGGACAGTAAGATTGGCAGGAAATTTCTAATAGGTCTTTCTTTTCATTTATCACTAGATTAATAACACAAAATACTGCACTAAACATATTGTAAAAACTGCACTACTATCCAGTAGTAGAACTGCAACCTAAATCAGAAATACGTACAGCACAACTGTGTGTTCCTAGTATTTGTATGGGTGTTGTTTTTACACTGTGTCTTTTTTGTTCACTTTTTTTATCCATTTTTCCACTGTTGGGTGTCATTGGTCTGATGCAACAGGAGAAAACCAGAATTATTTCTAATTCAGGTAATGAAAGGAGGTTTCTTGTTTTCTCATGATACTACCGAAATAAATTTCTTTGTGTGTAAAGGCTTTAGTGTGAAATGTCAAGAAAAACTGGAGATATTCTTATGAGATTAAAATCTTCAACATCTGTTCAAATCTAAGTAAATAAAGTTGTTTAAGAATTTGAAGCTGAAGGAAGAGTAACAATGACAAGGAAATGTAATATAGACAATATATAAAACTAATAGAAGTAGCTACTCCTTTTGAGTCCTCATCTAAATGGCTGAAACCAGACCTAGGATATATAAATGCATAGATCTGCCTTCTTCACACATCACCTACATGATACATCAAAAATAAGTACAATATTATACAGGTAACTATTTATAGAGAGTTATTAAAATATCTACTTTTACACATAAAGTGATGAAAGTTACTTGTGTATTAGTGCAATATTTTTAAGCAATACTGAATGGTATGGGTTTCCTTGTTATTATTTTCTAGTAAAACATAAAAGAAAATAATCAAAATGCACAAACCAGATTACACAGTATGTTTGATGTAGCAATTTCTAACATTCATTTAATATAGCTGAGCTGCAATGACTAATACTGCCCATGTCCGCTAGTACAAAGACCTAAAAAAGGTTCCAGACTAGATTACGTTCATGCAGGTCTCATTTTAACGGAAATTGGAGAGATGAAAAAAAGATTATAGGAACACACATTATAAAAACAGACCTCACAAGTCAAACTTAATAGTGAAACCATTCTCTTTCATGTAGACAACCATGAAAACAAATATCCTGTAAGCACTAGATATATATTGTATCTTTCTACCAGATCTCTTTGCCTCCTTGAGACAGATTCCCATTCATCTCATGACTATATAATTTGATCATAGTTGAGTAAGGCACAGCAGGGGAAAGGGTATGTCTGATAAAGTATCAGGCTTCAGGAAGATAGATAAACAATTTCATGATTTCTAGTTGTAACAGGAATGGTACAGTGGTGGATATTAAGATATTAGTCTTGTAGGAATACAAATATCAAGCTTCTGCAGTTTTTTCTCTTACTAAATATTTTTTCTTTCCATTAAGTGAAAATGACAGTCTGATTATAATAAACGAAGACAGAATGCCAAAATAAAATGCAAGGTATGCTTGAAACGTGGAATTAAATCTTTTCTGATTTGTCAATGTGAAAGTTAACACACAACTTTTTTTCTGGCTTAGTTTAAGACAGGTGAAAAAATAGAGCAAGGAAGGTTCTTTCTCATGGGGTATTTTCACTGCAAAGAAACATTATTAAAAAGTTGGTGAAATAGTTGCCTATTGAGTTGTTTCACATTTAAACCTCTTCTTTCACAATGGACACATTGGCAGGCAACTCCTCCTCTGCTACAAGTCACTAGAGTAATAGCTGTTTGCAACACCACCTCATTGTTCTACATGTATTAAATGAAGGCTTGAGTGATAATGTTTGAACAGCTATGATGGACTTCTTTTTCATATATTAACACATATATTTGGTTTGTATATATTAACACAAATATATAGCAGCCATTACTAATACAACTCCTGTTAGGTGGCAAATGTTATATTGTCTTCATAATTCCTGTCTTGGTTAGCGGTAAAACATGGTGATATCCAGTATGCTGATAGCTGCTTTTACTTATAAGAATTCAAAGAAAAAAAAATATTCTACAGTAAATTTTTAGTTACAAACCCTGGATGTCATCTTCTTTGTTCAAGAAAAGATATTCTGGAGGAAGCAATTTTTAAAGCCATCATACGATCTAATTTAGCATCACTTACCTGTGATTCTTTTACGTTTTCAACAGTGAAGTTGAACCAAACTCGAAAGCGTGGGTTACAGGTATCTGGTCTAATGAAGAGGTCATACTCAAACTCCGTGATGTGGTCCACCCGTCCAAGGTTACCTACCAAGAACATATGAAATAGAATGCATTTTAATGAGTGGCTGATAAATACTGCAGAAACTACACTGCAAAAAGTTTTTAAAACTACTACGTCTGTTGGTTAAAATGTATGAGTATAATAAGCCTTACAACAGTTCAGAATTATTTTTAAAAGACTTAATCATAGCCAGCAAAATAAAATACGTACCAGGAAGCTAAATGCATATGAACACACCAAAAAGAAGACAACATGGATTTTTATTATTTAATCAAATTGACTTTTTCTCTTATCTGAGTATTCCAATTAAGTGTCCTAACATCCTTTTAATTGCTTCTTTTTCTTCTTTTTCCTCACTTTTTCTGATAATGTCTCTATACCTTTTTTAGCCCCCACCTGTATAGATTTCTTTCTTTCCATTTGCTGCCCATGTTCAAGCTCCTGTAAGATTAAAGAGTCCCCAGATTTCCACCTGGCCCCTCTGGCTGGGGCTCTGGGCACCCCTCTCTCCCGACAGATGGGCCAGCCTTCATCTCCTTTGTGATTCAAAAGCTATCTTAATACTATTCCTTTACCATTTGCAGCCACTACCACCTTTTTCCAAAGACACAAACAAAGCTGTAAGATTTTGCCTCAGCTTTTTCCTGGTGAATTTCATGGACTAATATTTTTAAATATAGTCAGAGCTACATTGTCCCCTATGGCATTATTCAGCAAGCAACCACACTGGTATAGAAATGAAGTTCAGCACTGGGAAAACTTGCTAAGTGCTTTTAAATTGCTAAATTGGCATTTTTCCTTTGAAGTGTGCCAAGATTTTTAAAGACAGGGTTTAGACTGTCCATTTCATTTATACACTACAAAAATAAGACTTCACATTTTCCTGATCTAACCCAAAACCCATCTTATCAGGTCTTGTAAGACAGGGCCATGCTTTAGCTCACATGCTAAATTATACTTATTAAAAAAAATAGTACTGGAAGATGACCTGGTTTTATTGTTTCAGATATATTTTGGGGTTTAGAAATATATTTTTGGGTTGGATTCTGTTGGGTTCAAATAGCTATTTATAATGCTATTTGAGCTAAACAATTCCTCCTCAGCAAGTCCCATTTCAGTCACTATGACTGTTCATTGGTAACATAGTACTCAGTACGAGCATAAGTAGCAAAATTCGGCTGATCTGCTGTTCTGTGGTGGAAAAGAAGCAGGAAAAAACATTTTCAGCTCTTTTCATCAATATATTTGCAGGATTTCTTCCTTATCCTAAATTGTTTCTGGCTGCACTAATTGAACATTTTTAATCTTCCCTATTTTTAATGTTATCCTCTACTTTCCTACCCACATTCTTCTTTTCAGAAGAAAATTCTCTTCGCTGATTCTCTCTGTAGAAAACCGCTTCATGCTAACAATCTGTTCCTAAACGCTTGCCTGAAGGATACATTTGGCATATGAAATATTTGGAGGGGAAAAAAAAAAAACCAAACACACCAAAAAAACCCCACCCAGAACCACAACAATATTGTACAGCTAGAATACCTTTGCCGAATATAAATAATGTCATTTTCTGTGCCAGGTGTGCGTGCTGAGGCAGGGGCTGCGGGGCTGAGCTCTCTGAGGAGACACCAGGGCCACGCCCTGTGCCGACTCCGGCCCCTCAGCAAAGATGGCGGCACCTCCTTCAAAGAGGGGCAAAAATGCCACACAGGAGTGAGGGAATCTGAGGAGTACCAGGATTCGAGGAGGAGGAGGGAAGGGGTTGCTTCAGGTGCTGGGGCAGAGTCCTGTGTCCTGTGGGGAGAGGCTGGAGCGGGTGGACACCACCTGAGGGACCAGCGGCCCGCAGAGGGCCCGCAGAGGGCCTGCAGTGGAGCAATCTCTCCTGAGAAGGAGTGTGGCCTGCGGGAAGGGCCCAGGCTGGGGCAGGGGAACGGTGTGCGGAGGGAGGAGCGGCAGAGAGAAACCGCTATGGGCTGACAGCAGCCCCCCAGCCTCCTGCCCTGCTCCCCGTGGGAGGTCAGGAACCGAGGAGGGAAGCTGATCCTGGGGAACAGGGAAGAGCTTGGGGAAGGTGTTCCAATTGCTCTTTGTTTCTCACTATCCAAACCTATTTTAACTTGTAGTAAATTAGTTTTCCCCCAGTTGAGTCTGTTTTGCCTGCGATGGCAATTGGTGAGCAATCTCCCTGTCTTTATCGTGACCCACGAGCTTTGTCATCTTATTTGCTCCCCCGTCCTGTCGAGGAGGGCAAGTGAGCGCCGTTGGGTGGGCATCTGGCAGCTGGACAAGGTCAACCCACCACATCTGCCTGACTTTAAGTTAAGTCCCTTACTCATTTAAGTGCACTTTCCGCCACAGAGGTCAAATCTATCACTGCTGTTCACAATACAACTTGAATCTTAATGTAAACTACTATTTCCTACAGATTATTATCCAAAGTAAATTAGAGTGGTAAAATCAAGCTATTGCATTGTAATACCTTCAATTAAAGGACTTTTTTTTACCGTATTTTTCATGAAATGTCATGACACTGTTGGGAAAATAATATTCCTCATGTATTTCAGGATTTAGGTGGTCCAAGCTGTTCAGCTGCGTAGGTTGGATTCCAGTTGCTTCACAGGTCACAGTTTGAGGTCTCTCTGGACAAAGCTTAATGTGTGGACACCCAGAGTCACTTCAGCTTGAGTTGTGCACGTGATGCTGGTGGGTCCTCCAAGAATGAGGCAGCAGGCTGGATGAACACAGTCTGTTTACAGGTCCAGCCTGTAAACTACTAGGCATACATGCCTCCCAATGATCCCAGAAATTCCAGATATGGATTAAGTTATCTGCAGCACAGACCAGAGGTGTAAATTTTGATTGAATTACTTCCAAAGAAGGACACAGAAGCAGTCAAATTTATATTTTAAGTTCAAAGATCGTTAAAAAATTGTACTGCAAGGCATAGGAAATGGAAAGATTATAAAGTGAATAAATAAAAAAAAAAAAAGAACAAAATGAGACTGATTTCTGACCTATTGCACATTTTAGCTTTTTTTTTTTTTTTTCCTCCAACAAACTGATCTGTATTGTATGGGGGACAGACGCCCCCTCCAAACTGCTTTACAGAATCCGTTGGATTCCTGAACTAGCACTGGAGAATTGTACCAACATCAGTGAAATCACTGATGGTGAAGAACCGGTAGGCTGGAACAAATCCAAGCTAGTCTGCTCTGGTAAACCTATATACCTATCTCAAATCCAGCAGAACCTTTCCCAATTTAATAATTGTGTACACGATTCCTTGGGACTCCCAACACTGTTTTCTCTTTATCTGTAATACTTGATTTGTATACTCACACCCCTCTTAATGCAGTATTTTTTCCTTTAGTGAATTGTATCTCACTTTATTACTTTTTGCCTACAGAACACCCTCTTACTAGGCTCCTTCATACTGCACGTCAGCTGCCATAGTCACCTGCAGCCATTTGCAGTTTAGTATCATTTGTACATTTCATTAGCACACTATTTCTTCCCTGTCTTCCAGATGCTAAATAGGCTGGACCAAACACTAATGCCTTCGCAAACCAATTCAACAAGTTCCTCGTGCTCAATAGACTATTGTTTCCAATATCACAGCCTTTGCTCACAATCTGTCAGCCTAATTTCAACCCACATAGCAATGTCATTAAACAAGACGGCAGTTTTCGTACAAAGAAGCCTAGAACTGTAAGAACAAAACACTTCCTTACTTTAAGAGATGCTTTGCAGAAAACTGATAATGCCACTGAAAAACATTTTTTCGTGTCCAAGAAAGGATATAAACTTCCCAACATTAATTGCATAAAAAAAGTTAACAATTTTACATACTGCCTTCGCACTGCTGTAATCATGGAAAATAGATTTATTCTAATGAGTAAGAATTATATTCCAATACCACAGGTAACACAGTGAAATGCATTAGAAACTATGAAACAGGAATTAAAACACAGATTACGTTATTCCATTTAGCCATTATAACATTTTAATATTTTAACATTGAAAATAAACTTTTTTTTTCTTAAGTGTAAACAACTTCTAAACTGCTTTTATTTTTTAATAGCTCTATAAGGTTCCTTAAAATTACTCTTTTCTTTTTCGTTAAATGTATAGCAAGACAGAAAACTGTTTAATGAATAGTTAGACAGTAAGTTCCTCCTATGTCACAGGAACCTCTGTGAAATTATGTAATACATACAGTCTGCTTTGCAGTACCTGAGGTGGAGAGTTTCTGTACTGAAATGATGAGAAATTTCAGAGAAAGGTAGACAGCACCAATTTTATGTAATGTACCTACCAATACTTTTCAGTTTTGATACAACTACTGTAGGATCCTTCCTGTGCACAGTTTTCATTCTGCATACCCTGCAAGTCTGGCAATTTGTGATATCAATAAGAGAGTCTGTTCAAAACCATATATGTTAATTATGTTCTTTTAAAATCAAAGAAAAAGGCCTCAAACTATGAAAACATCAGCTTTGCTTTCGTTTACTTTGGTTTCATGCCCACATGAAATCATCACCACTCCATTCAATAAACACAGAAGCTCTATCTATGAGATTATACAACATTTTTTTAAAGCATCATCACTTCATAATTTGTGATTAGCATTATATTTGGGGGGTAACATTACAATACACAACACATTGTTATTTAAGGTATACATGTAAAATTAATTAACTGATTAAATAATGTGATCTGCAAGGGAAAAAAGCCCAACAACTTTAAGTGCGGTAAGATCTGAGCTTATTGGCATTCTAAGACATGTCTTGTTTAAATTCTTTTTTTACAGTGTGGGTGCACGGCTGGTTGTCAAATGGCTTTCTGACTGTATCTTAAAAGTAAAATAAGCAATTTATTAGAGTAGCCGTCACTTTACAAAGTATTATGGATTTTTTTTCTCCTATGCACTCTGAAATTAGTTGCAGGGGTGTTTTTTTTCTATTATTATTTTACTTTAGAGAAATACTGGCACAGATCTTTTTAAACTGATGGGAAGATGTGA